CTGGGACCTGGATCTAGGAGTATCGTACCGGTGTGTTTCTATTGGACGCGATTAGGACAGCCGCCGGCGAAATAGATTCTACACTTCTAGCCTAATGATATTGGATGTTGTTATCTATCTTCAGTCCTATAGTTCAGCAGAGTATTTTGTTCAAACCTTAAAGAGTACTATTGCATCAATAAGTCCAAGTATTCTGGAAGGGCTAAAAAATGCACTTAAATACCATAACGCAAAATTTTGAAGAACGCGTAAAGGAGCATTTGAATGACCACTCAGTCCGCAGCAGACATGTTGATCAAGTGAAGGTTCATCGAATGGGTGATTCTATGAACTGTGGCCATCTCATAATAAACCTTAATTTCGCAGATGGTTTAGAACCGTAGATGTATAGTTCCAACTTTAAATCCGTTAATTCACTTGTCATGAATAACTCTAGATAAGTTCAAATTTCCGATGGATGAAGAAAATAAAAACCGGAATGCTGAACAATCAAGAAGAACAAAGATTATATTATAGACGTCTAAACAGATCCCTGCTCGTGAGAATCGAATCCACGACATTCGGCCTCGCGCAGGAACGCCTAAATTGTAGACCACTAAGATGGCATCTAACGTTGCAGGTGTCTCACTTTGATCAATCCATGGTCTTGCGAAGAAGAATCCATTACTCTCAGTTGACAGAATTAAACTCCACTGGTGACAAACTGTTTCCTCTCCCTTGCTTACACTTCGGTCCTCTCTCACAATCTTCACTACCAACTAAAAAACTAAATTCATCTATATATTACTCAGTTCTGAAATTTTTTTCATATTATCATCAGAATTTTATTCTTATTACCCTTATTACTATCCACATTGCAACTAACTGATCTCCGGTCTGGTAATGTGACGGCTGTTAGTATCTAGAAACCCTACTGCTCTGAAACAAACGTTTTCATTCAAATCACGGGACATACAAACTCACAACCAACTGCCAACTGACTAGAATTAGACAGTCGAGTGGCAAGACCTCCATCCATTGGACATTACCGAACATCTGGAACCGTACCGAAAGAACAAGAATCGATCGCGAAGAAATCAAATTGGTTTACACTAGCTCGTGAAAAAGATATTGGATATTGGATATTGAACTCGTGTCATAAGTTTTATTTTGAGTTAGCACATTTTGCTTATAGACTTTGATTCTTATCTTTCAATCTCTGTGAGTAAATGAAAACTAGCAACAAGTTCACCTAACTTCATCAGCGCCTAGAAAAAGTAAGTATCTTTGTAATATCCAAACTAAGGTTTGGATTGGAGAATAACTGTCCATGTAATTAAGATGCTCGCCCTGCCCAGTTTAAATCCGAAATAAGTTACTGGGTAAGTAACCGTTGCGTTGGTAATCATTAATATAAATACACATTATTACCTAGATAATAATAATAATAACTCGTTATTCCTTCAGTTATTCAAATAAACGATATTCTATCCCTCTTGTAACACAAATTGTTTCCAATTCTGCAAGAGTGCTCCGATTTCCAGTCCCATTTGCACACTTCCAGTCAGTGCAAGCGCTTCAGCCAGCAGAGGAACAAAATAATTATGGCTGTTGCCATAACTAAGTATTTGCTTCAACAACATAATGCAGTTCGGAAAGAAACATGGAAACTCAGTAAAGGGAGAAGAAATAGAAACTATAATAAAACACAAACATTATCATTTCAAAATGGAATCGAGCAAACTAACAAAATATAGAACTGAAAGAATCAATAGGGACATATTACAAATATATGCATGGAGGGATTTTCATAAACAAAGCCTTCCAAAATGGATCTTACAATCTTACTTAAAAGTATGTACAACATGTCACCGATAAGTTTTGAAATGGCTCAGGCTGTTAAATAGAATCTTTTTGCAACCATCTTGATCAATATGATACGGTCAATTAGCTAAGTTACCTGAAATATGTTCACAGAAGTGGTGGAGGTTAACGGTAGACGATCACCGGCAAATAGTGAGAGACGCTATCCAGAATGCTCCCTTCCGCAATGTACTTCGGTTACACCACACACCCGGAAATAGGAGAACATGGGTTAGGTGCGACACTGAACGCTTGCTACAGGCGAAGAGAAGAGCCTGGCACAAGGTCTACTTGAAGGATTCCGATTGCAGTTCTTACTTGGCATTGAGAAACAGATGCAATATCAAAGTTCAAAGTGATAGCAGACACTTCCAGATGAAGCTAGCTGTCAAAATACAGACAAACCCTGAGCATCTCTTTAGGTTCACAACAGAAAGCGAACCTACGAATCACCGATCAGTTAAACCAGGCATCCACATTTTCAGAATACTACACAAACCCAGTGCCAGCTGACGGCTTAGGGAATATCTGTATTTCTCGCGACTTAGTACTAAGGAAACTAAAACCCTTACGCACATCAAAGTCCCAGGTTGTGACAATGTTTGCCCCATAGTCTTGAAACAATGTCCACCGATATGTGACCTGCTTAGACATTCACCGGAGTCACACCAACTCCCAGCTGAATGGAAACAAGCCACTCTTTCTCCAATATTCTAAGGAGGACAAAGGAAGGACCCAGTCTGTTACAGACCAGTCTCATTACTAATAATACGATCATAGGTAACGGGATTGCTGGTGAACAAACAAATGAGTGGGTACATGGATAAGAACAAAATACTCCATGGAGCTCAACAGGGGTTTTGGAAAGGCAGATCGTACACTCAGAAACTACCTTTAGAATAGAAGGTCTCGTACCAAGGTAAATTGAGTGCACGTTAGCTGACGGGTTTCCACATCGGCAGTTTCACAGGGGATCATACTCGGACCACATCTATTCCCGATACTTATTACCACCTGTTAGACGAAGTTAGCTCACCGGCGCTGATCAACGGAGACGATGCAAAAATCTGGAGGAGCGAAGGGGATTCGACTGAACTTCAAAAGGAATGGGCAGTGCAGAATGGCCAGCAGAAAAGTACATACTGTTACACGTGATACAAACGACTTACACCCTCAGTGGAGGGCCACCTCCCATTGCACCCTCAGAAATCGATCTCAGTTTAACAACCACAGAAAGCCTATACACAAACCTGAACTATGTAGGGGACGCAGCCAAGTCAAATGCGACCCTTCACTTTATGCGAAAACAACCCGGTGTTATCATACCACAGTTATTCTTAACGTTATTTAAGACATACGCGCACCCACACCTGGAGATCCACAACTTCATCCCACACCATCTGCTTATAAGAGACATAAATCTCTTGGATCGAATTCAGAGACTATCAACAAAATGTGTGATAGGGTTAAAAATTAAATCTTACTAACACAGAATTTTGCATTTTGGATTATTCCCCCCGACTTACAGGAGAATCAGAGATGATCTGATTATAGCGTACAACGTATCAAGCACGCCAAACCATCCCAAAGTGAGCATCTAACCGATGTATCACCCTTCAAGCCCCTGAAGGTAGTCTTCGAAAAATTGCGCGTCAAAGAGCGAACATTCAGGTTCAGGCGCACTTTCTCTCCTTAAGAGCCCTGCAACTTGGAATGCTGTCCAATTCGGAGTGACCACAGACCTCTCAGTGGAAAGCTTGATAAACGTACTGTCACATACGGATTATCATTGCCCTCATGGACAAGCTGTGTCTGATGCATGTCTGGAGACCTGCTGGTTGTTCTGAAACCTTCTCATTGGCATTGGAATTTTCTCTTTATTACTGATCACTGGTCTGTTACCGTGATAGCTGCTGGTATCCAGAAACCCTACTGCTCTGAAACAAACGTTTTCATTCAAATCACGGGACATACAAACTCACAACCAACTGCCAACTGACTAGAATTAGACAGTCGAGTGGCAAGACCTCCATCCATTGGACATTACCGAACATCTGGAACCGTACCGAAAGAACAAGAATCGATCGCGAAGAAATCAAATTGGTTTACACTAGCTCGTGAAAAAGATATTGGATATTGGATATTGAAATACTGTCACATGGTCATCTAAGTCACAAAACGAATAATCTGCATACCAGTGTTAGATACCTCTATATAATTTGGGCTATAGATCATCTAGGCGAACCTCATGAATATTGCTGGAAGCTTGATTATTATTATTGTAGATAAAGGATTAAGTAATGTGTTCAATTATCAAAAGAGATAGAATCATGATTCGTTTAAGAAGGTTTCGGCGTTCCCATGTATGAAATTCCTCACCATCCTCTTGATCTTCAGAAACACCATTACTGAAGCTGACTTCTAGTTCTGACCATCTGTACAAAGTTTTGAACTGTAAATTACAGTAATCTGATTTTCAGAGAGAGTTGCCGTTTCCTCCTGATGAACTCACTGTAATGTTAATAAACATGAAAAATAAGATGGCACATCCTTCTACCTGCGGGATGATTTCGAAGCCTGAGTTCAAAATAATTTTTAAAGATCTGCTCACTGAATTAAGAAGAAATTGCTGAATGGATTGAATTCACAATGTCCGTAATCTAACGGTATTATATGACAACCTATTCAGCTGGCGCTTCAAATACCCGGTATCTTTTCACGAGCTACTTTAGGCTAACTGCTTTACTCGAGCTCGCTTCTTGTTGTTTCAGTACGGTTCTAGGCATCAGTTAATGTCCAACCTTTACGCACAAAACAGTACACATACGCTTCTCAATGACTGTCTCATTCATTACCAAAACTAACATTTAGACAGTGATGACATGTCTGCGGAACAAATTATCACATACGGACTGTATCATTGTGATTTCAGACACTCTATTGAACCGTATCTATGATTCCACCACTGAGTCGACGTATACATTTTCCCACTCTTCCTACTTCATTATTCTTTTCCTTTCTCTCTGTCTCTCCATCATCGCCAGAATTCCCATCGAGTAAACAACAAGAAGCAAAGAAGTTATTTGGTCTATACTAGGTCAGGAAAAAACATTTGATTTAGGCATTTGTTTGTTTAAGTCAGCTATCCACTTTGTACTCTATGGTCCCCAGTTATGCATACTCTTAAACGTTGATTCATGTTTTTCTAATAAATGGATGTACAGATTTTACAACCAGATAAAAATGAAGAACCACACGAATCGAAAGATGATTCTTTTGTAACTCAGCTCATTTTGGACGCGATTGTTGCAGGTTCCTGTTCTCTCGATCTCAAAAATCGCAACCTAGATGAAATCCCGGATAAAATTTTGGACGTACCAAATTTACAGGTTGTTAATGACTTAAAATCACCTAATTAAACCCGGTTTAGAAATTGTATGCCTCGAATAATTGTCTCAAAACTATATCACCCAAATTACTGAATAGCCTCAGTCAACTTCGTTGGCTAGATTTACGTGACAATAGCTTAACAGATATTCCACCGGAAATAAAACACCTGGGCGAACTTCAGACATTACTTTTAGATAATAATAAGATCAGAATTCTTCCTCTGGAGCTTGGTAAATGATAATATTGTTGCAGATCTTTTAGGTCTGTTGAAAAGTTTGTCAGTTCTGCATCACAGAAATAACCCGATAGAATTTCCTCCTAATGAAGTATTGAGTAGAGGCACGAAACATGTTTTAAAGTTTCTGTTCGACTGTTATGCAGGTTTGGTGAACATAGCAACTAACAAAGGTCAGTTTTCGTTTCCTTGTTTTAAATTTACTTTATACTATGTCAAAATACTTCAATACATTTTTTCAAAATAATTATGAAGTAAACTCTTTGAATCCGTATAAAATACTCAGCAGTAAATGATATTTTCCTTATTGACCAGCGTTTTTAAGGAACAGCTATGAAATATCGATGTCCTAAATATTTCTTTTCGATATAGAATCGCGACATAAATCCATTATGTCACCCAACTGATATCATTTTCATCAATCATGTCATTTTGAGCTGGAAGCACAGAGAAACCGTTGTGGTCTAACGTATTAATCGTCTATGAAATAGGGATATTTAAGTAATACATTGAACAGGCTGTTGAATTGCTTTACTACTAAAAAGATTAAACTTATATGTTAATTTTTTAGACCACTTATTAGACAAAATATTATCCCCATAGCCAGAAAATTATATTCCTCAATACAATTTGTGAGACCACAATTATGAATGTCATTTGTATACAAATTTTAGTCTCAGCCTTTCTGTCTGTCATTGATATAAGAAGTATATTGTTATGTAGAAGGTTAGTAGTGGAACAGATAAATCTGATGCTGCTATTCTCAATGTCAAGCCTATATTATTATTTAACAAACGGTTTCATCATAGACCTGTTTACGTCTCCAACTAAGGGATATCTTGTGCTTTTGCATCTTTGAATTTTGACAGGAAATTTCGCGACTATTTGTGACTTGTTTATTTCTTTTAATGTTTCCGCAGATGGTGGTTTTACTAACACAGTTAGTGGCAGAGTGCCTAACTGCCATGATATTTTATCTCGATAAGTGATAACAGCCCTTTTTATTGAATTTGCCTCTACACAATAATATTGCAGCCTTTGGTAGGTGTCGACTACCTGGTTGTGGCTCGCGAGATGATAGTTGTCGATGGTTAGAAACCCTGGATCACATGACTTAAAACCGTTTGCAATGGCGCAGGTGCATTTATTCTTTGTGTTATCTCAAATCCCTACCTTCACAGTTCCTTATCAGCCTAATCTTGTTTTTAGGTTTTTTCTTCACTAGATCCTACTTCGGACGCCCCACAATAGTAGTATTTCTCGAACTTAGAGCGGCATTCGAGTCTGTTGATCGTTAGGTTCTGTGGTAGTGTCTGTTATTAAAAGGTGTACCAATGAAGTATATTAATCTTATACAAGAACTCGAACACTACTGGTTGAGTGAGAGCTTGTGACCAACTGTCATGGGAGTTATTTACTTCAAGTGGTGTCCATCAGAGCTATTCGCTCTCCCCATTCTTGTTTAACTTGGTCGTAGATATGCTTCTAGAGTTAACTTTATCGTCGTCTGACGGTTCTGGAGTGAACCTTTTATCAGGAGACAAGCTTGCTGACTTAGAATATGTTGATGACATATCTATTTGGTGAAGACGCTGATAAAATGCACTCTTCTGATTACCATAAGCAACATTGCAAGCCTGTTCGGGACGCGACTCTCCCCCTTGAAATGCAAAAGATTGCTTCAAGACTGGGTTGCATCGGTACCTGAACTAGTGATAGGGAGCAAATTAGTCGAGCGTGTAGGTCGCCCCACTTGTCTTGAGGATCTCGTAAGTGCTAATGGCCTGGTGTGTGATGCAATCTCAGCACGAATACAGAAAGCTCAATTGGCTTTTGCCAACTTGCGTCACTTACGGCGCAGGCAAAATATCCGTTTGCTAACCAAAGGACGAATCTACTGCTCATTAGTTCGCTCTGTCCTACTATACGGATGCGAAACATGGCCTGTAAGAGTGGGGGACATTCGTAGGTTGTTTGTCTTCGATCATAGGTGTCTCCAAAGCATTGCTCGTGGTTGGGAAATGTGCTACGAATGCCTCGACGAGCTATGTTTTGTGGTGTAGGAGTAAGTCGGAAAACAGCTAAGGGCGGCCAGACCAAAACGTGGAACAAATCCATGAAATCACTAACATGTGGACTGAGACATGTTGATAGGTGTTGACTACCTGTTTGGGGTCCACGAGACAAAAGTAGCCGATGGTTAAATACCTTGAATGACATGGCTCAAAATCGTTTGCAATGACGAAGGTGAATTCATTGTTTGTGTTCTCTCAAATTCTAACCTTGTTAATTCCTCATCATATTTATCTTTCTGTTTTTAAAGTTATCTCCATGAATTATACTTCTTGAATGATTTATTCGAACCCTAATTTTTCCGATTACTGCCAATACTTCTACTGTCTCCACCACTATTGGATTTGAACCGACATTTGCATCTATGTGCTGATGCAGTATGGCAACCTGAACTGCTGTACTTACGTACGAAGTTCTACGTTGTAACTGGCTTACCTAATAATATCTTTGAAGCCTAATCTCTCCGATTACTGCCTATACTCCTACTGTGGTGCGATGATCGTATAGCACAAAAGCATTTTTTAACAAAATACTCTTAATATTTCACGAATCATAGTAGTGATTAGCTTGATTACGGTTTACTTTTCAGACTTCAGTATACTTGATTACAGTACAAAAGATACTGAAAATAGTTTGGAAAACAACAACAATGTTTCACAAATAGAACAACCTTTTGAAGATGGTATCAAACGTTCTATCTCTGAATTTCCTGATTTAATCAACTCTATGAATAGTGTGAACATTAAAGAAAAGCAGTTGCTCAACTCTGTGGAAGATTTACACAATTCCATAGATTTAAACCACAATGATGTAGTTTTTTCTAAGCTTGAAAGATCTCATTCTGCTGATGAATTGTTCTCGGAAGCTGTACAGAATGAAGGCATCAATGAGAGTTCAGATACAGAAGGAAAACTCCCCCAGATTTTTAGTCAATCGAATTTAACAGGTGTCATAGGAAGTATCCTTAATGGAGATAATGATTTGGCTCAGTACTGTGGGTATCAAAATAACAATTCATCCCACTCACAGATCTTCAACAAGTCGAAGTTGTACAAAAGGATTCAAAGTGATTATTTTAAGTCTAAACGTTTCACATCAAAGTCGAATAAGTGAGTCATTTTTACATCAGTGTGACTAAGCATATTATTTTAATAAATCAGCCATGAACTAGAGGAAACACTGACAATCGATTGCTCGACAGCCTAGTTAACCAATTCCGTAGCTGTCGTGTTTTAATAAATAATGTTAATATTTTGCAATATTGTCAAACTTAATCTACGTAAATGAATAGATCTCAAAGAAATTTAACTAATTAAGTTAAGAAATGATGAGAACCAACTGTCAAAAAAGAACAGCGTGCCATAGGTGTATTAGTGAACTATTGTTCTCCGAGCTAGATGGTTCGTCTGTTAGTCATTCCTGGACAACGTGCTTTGTACAAGCTTCAGAAAGGAGTAAACTGTTTGAATATCTTCAGATGTGCCTAATCTTTGGTTTTGTTGTTTGTGTATTTATTTCGGTCATCTTTCCACTTGACTTGACTATTGACCTTGTAGTTGTTCATGATAGCTCACTTTTATCTGAAGTTTTTTTTGATTTTGTCTAGAAAGACAATAAGCGTTTCACAAATAAACCGACCATCTCTGTATATGCTAGTCCACTGAGACCATTCTACTGGGCTAAGAATCGTCAGTGATATTAGGTGTTTGGATACGATCTACAGGAAATAACTTTCATACATTTTATGTTTAGTTGACACTTGCTAGCAAGGTGTATGTGCAATCTTAAGAGAGTTGATTCTCTCTCTCGATATCACAGTATAAAATGTAACCACCGAGCTATTAAGATGTTTACTGACCTTCTGTAGGGCTGAAGTATTTACATCGATCGATTGCTTAGTTGTAACTAATGCTGTATTTGTAAGTGATGATCAAATCCTATTGATCAAGTTATAGTATTTCCACTAGGTAAAATGACTTAATGTTGTATGCGCTATTTTTTAATGTCAAGTAGTTGAGGTTCGAACAAATATGACATTAGTTTCCTCTCAATAGTCAAATGATCTAAGTAAACTGATATATTTAAATCGACCGATCGTTTGAATGTATACTTCTCACTGAATAGCTCAATCTTGCAGATATATTTATGGAAACTGGTTATGTGTGAGGTAACTGAGAGCTCAAAAGGCTACTCATTTTTCAAGCTCACAGATAATTTCATTAGGATTTTTATATATATGTTTTTATGTATGTCTTCTCACTAATTAAGCAAGATCTTCATTTATCGAATGTATGAGGAATGTTATGACCAATCATGTTAACATATTGACATTGACCTTGACTAATTTTGTTTTTTCAGCTCATTGTTGTGTAAACTACCTAGCCAAACTAGTCGACACAAAGCATTTTTGTTAGATGACCCACCACAACCGACTTTAGAAAAAATACGTTTAATTTATAAACGTGAACAAAAGAGGAAAGCTCGTAAAGAGATGATGTTGAAGCAGGCATCACAAATACAACGCATAAAGTAAGTTAATGTTTCCATAATACTTCTTTTAATTTACTGCCTTATTTCTCTGTGTTAATAGGATATCAGATTTGCTATATGAGATAAGACTGTTGAAACCCTTATTGGTTAACATCAACGAAGTTGAGATTTTAGGACTATTGACGTTTATTTATTCATGTCGAAGTCTGAATTTCTGCTGTTTATTCGTCTGTTTTGGTTGACCCGTTATTACTGAGTCTATTTGTTCAGTATATAGTCTGTGCGTAGGCACACGAATAATGTTTCAAAGTTAAGTGTTGACCTTCAATGTATCAGCTGAGATAGGTGTTCTTTTTTAAAAATCACTAAAGTATTGTAGTCAACCATGTAATTATAATGACAATATAAAATGTTGGCATCTGCTATCAAATTCATACTATTAATCACTGTGAGTAGTTGAAGATCATATGAAAGTATCGGAAGGAAATTGAACCAAAGTGTACGTTACATTTATTTCAGTTTAGTCATTTATCTATTAAGACTGAATAAGAAATTTTAATGCTACTTATTCACATATTATTACGGCGTTACCCAATACAACTTATTATTACAACTATTACTATAAACCGAAATTTACCCTTGGAATCATTTGTTTAGCAGTAAATTTCACCCTTCACTAAATAAATTTCTAAAATATGAATTATCACTCAGTCAGTTACAATGTAGAACTTCGTACGTACGTTCATCAGTTCAAGTTGCCATACCACATAAGCACAGATATGTAATTGTCAATTCGAATCCCATAGTAGTAAGGTTAGTAAAAGTATTAACAGTAGTCGGAGAGATTAGGGTTTGACGATATTAGTCAAGAAGTAGAATCGAGTGAAATAAACTTAAAAAGAAAAAGTGATGGGGAATGCAGAAGGTTAGGATTTGTGAGAACACAAACAATGAATACACCTGCGCCATCGCAAACGGTTTTGAGCCATGTCATTCAGGGTCTCTAACCATCGATCACTATCGTCTCGCGGGCCCCGACGAGATAGTCTACATCTACCAACATGACTCAATCCAGTTGTCACTGACTCCATGGATTTGTGCCATGTTTTGGTCTGGCCGCCCCTAGCTTTCGTCCAACCTATTCCTATGTCGGAAAACATAGCTCGACTAGGCAGTCGGTGGTTAGGCATTCGTAACACATGTCTCAACCACCTCATGAATGAATTATCTTTAAATTGTAACTACAAACGTCTTTCTAATATTCTGAGGTAAATTGTGACTCAAATTTATGCATTTTTCATTGACATAATGAATAAATAATTTCAAAATTGTACTTGATTCCAACATCCTATCTAAAAAATCAAATATTTTTTCTAAAATTTTCTCTTTGTTCAAGAAATGCTAGTTGTATTTCAGATTGGCGTGATGATTATACTTTATATCAAAAGAAAAAACTATATGAATATTTAGAGAAAACAAATCAAGAAATAAAAGGAGGTAATTAAATTATCAAGATTAATTAATTATGCCTTTATTTTTTTTAACTGTTTGCTAATATTACTGTAAATAAATGTTTTTACACTTTGTGACAACAAATATTTGACAGAATGTTAACGATCACAATATGAATGAAATGATTAGTTGGAAAGTACGTATGAAAAACAATATCTTATACTATATTTAATTTTTTTTAAGAATTTCAGTGGCTGGGTATTTTACTTGCACAGAGATGAACTCATCACAAGTTTTTATAAATGAAATTAGATTATATGATTATACGGTCCTCATCTGTCCGTAAGGTGTTTACTTACTCCTATAACCGCCCAACGGAGCATAGGCCACCGATCAGTATTAACCAACCATTCCGTCCTTGGCCTATCTGTTCATTTCTGACCTATTTCTCGGCGCGATGTGTTCCTTGGCCTTCCTCTTTTCCTTTGACTTCGAGGACTCCAAGCGAGGGCTTTTCTTGTGACTCAGTTGGGTACTTTCGTCAGTGTATGTCTTATCTCTCCAGTGCTTCTTCGTGATTTCCTTCGGTGGAATCTGGTTTTTTCTACCCCACAGTAGATTGTTCTTAATGATGTCTCATCAATGGATCCGAAGTGTTTTGCTTAGACAACTGTATCTTCTGAATGATTTCTCTCGTAGTTTTCCAAGTTTCCACCCCTGTCTGTTTGACAGAGTATCTATAAGTAACGCTGTTTTAATGATTCCAATGTTACCCAGTCTTAGGTGATTATTTGGACATCATCATGTAGTATATTACTTACTTACTTACTTACGCCTGTTACCCCAAATGGAGCATAGGCCGCTCACCAGTTTTCTCCAACCAACTCTGTCCTGGGCTTCCCTCTCCAGTTCTGTCCAATGTTTGTTCATTCCTCTCATATCTTTCTCTATTTCTCGGCGTAGTGTGTTCCTTGGCCTTCCTCTTTTCCTTTTGCCTTGAGGGTTCCATGTGAGGGCTTGTCTCGTGACGCAGTTAGGTGCTTTTCGTAGAGTGTGTCCTATCCACTTCCACCGCTTCTTCCTGATTTCCTCTTCCACTGGAATCTGACTTGTTCTCTCCCACAGTTCGTTGTTGCTGATGGTATCTGGCCAACGAATACGAAGTATTTTGCGTAGACAACTGTTAATAAATACTTGTATCTTCTGGATGATGGCTTTGGTAGTTCTCCATGTTTCCGCTCCATACAGTAGAACTGTCTTGACATTTGTATTGAAAATCCTGATTTTCGTTTTGTTTGAAAGTTGTTTGGAGTTCCAGATATTTTTCAACTGTAGAAATGCAGCCCTTGCTTTGCCAATCCGCGCCCTCACATCTGCATCCGATCCACCTTTCTCGTCGATGATGCTGCCCAGATATGTAAAGTTGTTAACGTCCTCGAAAGCATCTCCATCAAGCGTGATTTGGTTGGTGCATGTTGTGTTGCATCGGAGAATTTTGCTTTTTCCTTTATGTATGTTGAGACCTACTGCTGCAGAGGCTGCTGCTACACTGGTCGTCTTCTCTTGCATTTGTTGTTGAGTGTGCGATAGAAGAGCCAGGTCATCTGCGAAGTCCAGACCGTCCAGCTGCGTCCTAACTGTCCAGTTGATACCGTGCTTCCCTCCAGATGTTGACGTCTTCATAATCCAGTCGATGACCAGGAGAAAGAGAAAGGGTGAGAGTAAGCAACCTTGCCTCACACCGGTCTTCACCTCAAACGAGTTTGTCAGCTGACCTCCGTGCACGATTTTGCAGTTGAATCCATCATAAGAATTCCGTAGTGTCGAAGAAGCCTCCACAGTGTTTTCCTATCCACGCTATCGAATGCTTTCTCGTAGTCGATGAAGTTGATGTAGAGTGGTGAGTTCCATTCAATTGATTAATCCACAATGATCCGTAATGTAGCGATTTGGTCAGTACACGATCGATCCTTACGAAATCCGGCCTGTTGATCTCGAAGTTGGGCGTCTACGAAGTCCTTCATTCTGTTTAACAATACCCTGTTGAAGACTTTGCCTGGTATTGAAAGAAGAGTGATGCCTCTGTAGTTCTCACACTTGCTCAGGTCGCCTTTCTTTGGTATTTTGATGAGGTATCCTTCTTTCCAATCTGATGGTACTTGTTCCTCATCCCAAATCTTCTTGAAGAGGATGTGAAATATTTTTGCAGTTGCTTCTACATCTGCTTTCATTGCCTCTGCTGGAATGTTGTCTGGTCCTGCTGCTTTGCCGCTCTTGATTTGTCTGATGGCTATACTGATCTCCTCAATCGTAGGTGCGCCAATATTAATTGGGAGATCCGTGGATGCTGCTTCGATGTTGGGTGTGTTCAGTGGAGCTGGTCAATTTATTAGTTCCTTAAAGTGCTCTACCCACCTATTTCGCTGTTGTTCAGTGTTGCTGATTACTTTGCCTTCCTTGCTTTTCACTGGTCGTTCTGGTTTACGATAGTTCCCGGCGAGCTTCTTTGTTGTTTCGTACAATTGTCTCATGTTTCCTTCTCTTGCAGCCTTTTCCGCCGTCATTGCTAGATCTTCCACATATTTTCGTTTGTCAGCTCTAATGCTCTTCTTCACTTCCCTGTTTGCTTCTGTGTATGCAGCTTGTGCGGTAACTTTCTCTGCTCTTGTTCGGCTGACATTCACTGCTGCCTTCTTGTTCCTCCTTTCTTGAATTTTTTTAAGAGTACCAACAGAGATCCATTCCTTGTGATGGTGCTTCTTGCGACCAAGGACCTCCTGACATGTTGAAGTGATTGCGCCCTTAATCCCTCTCCAATTGTACTCCAATGTTGCTTCCTCTCCATTGAGTAGATCCTGAAAGGCCTGGAACCTATTGGTAAGGGCTATCTTGAATTCGTTGACTTTTACGGTATCCCGAAGAAAGGCCGTATTAAACTTCTGTGATGTTGTCTGCCCCGTTGTCCAGTGCTTCTTCAGCTTCAGTTTCATTTTGGCAATCAGCAAGTGGTGGTCTGAAGCTATATCAGCTCCTCTCTTGGTTCTCACATCCTCCATGGTCCTTCTGAACTTTTTGTTGATACAGATATGGTCAATTTGGTTTTGAGTAGTGTGGTCCGGTGAAATCCATGTGGCTTTGTGAATGCGTTTGTGCGGGAATATTGTGCCACCGATGACCAGTTTGTTGAAGGCACATAGGTTTGCAAATCTCTCACCGTTTTCGTTCCTTTCTCCCAGTCCATGTCGTCCCATGATGTCTTCATATCCAGTGTTGTCCATGCCGACCTTGGCATTCAGATCTCCCATAAGAATCGTCAAATCCTTTGGTGAACATTTCTCGACGATTGACTGCAGCCTTTCGTAGAATTGATCTTTAACGTCGTCATTGTAGTCGTTGGTAGGTGCATAACATTGGATGACGTTCATTGTAATGTCCTGTTTCTTTGTTTTGAAGGATGCTTTGATGATCCTAGGTCCATGAGATTCCCATCCTATCAGTGCCTTCTGTGCATGTTTGGACAGCATCAGTGCAACTCCTTGTGTATGTGAAGCATTTTCCTCTTCATGACCAGAGTATAACAGCAGTTCCCCTGAAGCTAGTCTCAGTTGTCCTACTACCTGTGTCCAATGCGTTTCACTGATGCCGAGCACCTCGAGGTTGTATCTTTTCATTTCTGCAGCAACTTGAAATAGTCTTCCAGTCTCCCACAATGTACGAACGTTCCATGTACCTAAAAAAATGGTTGCTCTGGTTGTCAGAAGAGGCATCAGCCCCGTGACTTCCGAGGGAACTCGGCTTTCATCACGAGACGTCATAATTCTTCTTCCAACTCCCAGGGCAGAGTTAAAATGGTTTGAATTGATTTTTCTGGTTAGCGTTTTTTTGGCAAGTGAGATTTCAACGGAATGGGGTCGCCAACCCCATGTCCAACCCTCCTCCTTTATCCGGGCTTGGGACCGGCAGTAGCCCCTAAGGTTCTACTGGCGGAGTTATGTAGTATATAGAGCAAAGCAAATGTACTACGTTCACTTTTTTCGTGTTTCACCAAAGATACCTATAAAACCTTCCCACTTAAGGATAACTAGTGAATTAATTCTCACCTACTTTTTATTTATCATATAGCATCATTTCGAACCAGTCGAGTTTATTTCGGAGAATACATACGAGAATTTCAAAATATAGTCGATTATCTAACACGGACTATTCGAAACGGCTTTCCTCTCAGTCTTTTTTAGCTGTACTTTTTAAAGATTTTCGACGCATTTCCTGAAGGAAAGGAGATGTGCATGAGAGAATTAATCTGAAATAAGTCTGGATAGACTTTTGCTTTATTCACCCTTAATCAGTCAGTCGCTTAGTGTTGATGAGAGCAAATAAATTCACTTCTGTTTAACTAAGAAACATCAGTGTTTCTTTTAGTTGGAAGGAGATAGGTTTCTGAGAATCAGATACTAGTTGAGATTATCGGCAGAAAGGGAATATTTTTAGATAATGTCAATTTTTTCCGAGCTGATTCTTACTAGTATCATCCTCAAATTTAAGGTTACCCACACAGTCTTTTTATAATTTAAGTATGACGGCTCCTTTAAACTCAATCCGCTGTTGATCGATTATGATTATCGTTTCTTCACAAAACTACCTGCATCACTAGTAAATAAGGAATATGAATGAAAAAAGAATACTCGTATTCTTTAAGTTAGACACTTTTAAATTGTATATTCCGTATAAATCTTATGCTGGTTAGTAATCTAATAGATTGTTTTAATCTCTTTTTATTTAGCTCTACGTCTCAAATCTAGCGATGCTATTAATGAGCTATTCGTGATATCTTTTAGTAGTGCATATGTGGTTTAATTAAACTATTTTAAAGAAATAAAAATGAATCATTTGTAAACAACCAAATCCCTTGATCAATCAGAGTTAGAAATTAACATTGTTGGATGCCGGCTCAGTGGTCCAGAGGATAGGCGTTCGCGCACAATAGCGAAGGTCCCAGGTTCGAATCTTGCGAGATGAAAGAGTTGCGGTTGCCCACTTTTGATGAGTCTCATTCCAGGACGAAACGGCCATCCAGTGCTTTCAGGAATCTAATAGTGGTCTAACAATGATTTATCGATGATTTCAAATGTATAAATACACTAATCTCCATAACTGTAATTGAAAATAACACTTTGTTATCCCACTGATGACAGGTTTTCCGTAAAGGAACTTAGAAGACAGAGATAATCACACGAGAGTATGATACAATATGTTATTTAGTATCGATTTTCTATGCAAATAATGTTTCCTACTTAAACGTTACCAGTGTTTTATCTAATCGGCTTATTCAAATATTTTACTTGAAATATCTAACAGAATCTGATCAAAGAATTGTCAATGCACCGTTTGATGTGCACAAAGATCACTTGACTATGATTGATAGTGGTGAATTGAATAGTTTACGTAAACAACGAATTAAAGAAGAACGTCCAGCTAATTTGGATTCAGCTACTGTGTTACAGTTGGAATTAGCTAGGTATGTACTTATTTTTTATGTCAAACTATATTATATCAGTCTGTGTTTCAAATATATGGTGCAAATGGCCGGAAGTAAGTTTGAAATCATGTATATTCATGACATACAAGGACTTGGTACATTGGCTGAATTTATTCCATGTTTATCATTGTGCATAAATAAATTATATTCAGGAAAGAATTACACAATGCATGTCAGTTTAAAGGCATCATCACTTTGGCACAGAAACTAGTGTTACATGTAAAGGAAAGAAATGTCAGGTTAAATTGTTTGAAAAGATATAATTTCTAATTAATTTTGAGAGGACATTTGTTCCATAGAATATAATAAATAATATGAGGCTACGGCTGGAAACTAGTTGGAGATACTAGGAAGACTGAGATATTTTCTTAAAACATGAATATATTTTCAGAAGGTTGTTTCAGTGCCGTTACACAGTAATTGCGGAAAAAAACCAGAGTACAAAATAACGACAGCATACTTTACTCTGTTGGGTCTCTCACTGTGCAAGAATCAAGTTGTTTTAAGATATACTCTTTTCAATAGGTTTTATTTAAACTAATCAAAGTAACCAAAAACAGTAAAAGTAAAAGAAATTTGCAAGAACAGAAGTTTACTAAGTACGCTCAATAATAAAATTGATTAGACGTTTAACATTTTTATAATTACACAAATGGAATGGACCTCAGTGTGACAGGAATCTGCACTTTTAAGGATGTTTCACAGTAGAAATAAGCATCAGTGGAGTAAACAGATGACGCTAATGATTTCCATTCCGTGAACATGATGCAACGATTTACTCCAGACACTTGAAAATTAACGAACGATTAAAGGGAATGCTCAAGTCCTCAATGTACTACTGTTTGAAACTCAGATGGCTCCTCACCATTTATGGTGAAGACTAAGTTAAGAAAAGGACTAGAAAAGTAAATCTAACCATATTTAGAGGTGTTAATTTTCCGATTTTCATTTTGATCACCCTTAGGTTACCTTGTAGTGTGTGTACGAATACATGGAGCCCACATGACACATGCCCCAGCCTGTGGAAAAAATAATTAATCCATTCTTATTGAGTTGTTCACGCATCTTCCTACCTTGTCAATTATCCGCTTATAACTTGGTTTTATCTACCTGAGTGCGTATGTGAATTGCTTACTTAGTTTATCACATGTCTAGCTTATTGTTTCCTGATGATAAACACTTAGTCATGCCTTATCACATGGAGTTGCCCTACTCGCCTTCTTGGCTTCACTTTCACGCTTTTTATCCTCATGTCTGTCTGCATGAACCATTGTATGCAATAAACTCATCCAATTAAGCCTGTATTTGTATTACCGCCGTTAGATAAACAAGGTTCTCCTAAGAAGGGTACACAGAAATCAGATGAAAGATTTATTCCATAGAATATTCAATTGTTCGGCCGAATTGCAGAAAGATCCTGGTTTAGCCAGTGAGGAGAAACCAATGACATTACTTTGAAATCAGCTGCATACAGAAAAGGCTTAGTCGAGTGAAATCAACTGCAGATATCATTTATATAGGCCATAAAAAACTAGGGCCCCGAAAGATAATCCTGTATTAACCCATTATTAACTGGAACAGTTTTTGACAAAGAGAAGCTAATTGATATGGGAAAACATTAAACTAATCAAGTATATCTGAGTTTGTTCATAAAAAGTCAGTGGTTGGCTACATTAAAAGTTTTAGAGACTTCAACCACAGTACCGATACTAGAATGACCTATGCGACGTTGAGTAAAGACTGCATTAAAGAAGTCAACATGACAGTTCATACAAGGTCTAATTTTCAAGAAGCCATGCTGCGAGTTAGTGATACGTTTCTCAGTAAGCCGATTGCTGTATAGTTGTCCATCGCCGAAAACGTTTTCATTATCTTAAAAACATTAACTCCGTGCAGATTATTTTACGGATCGAATTTTCTGTTTTGTTCAGAGTGAGCAAATACTTGTTATTTTGAGTAGCTAGTAGGTTATAAATCTGTTAGTTTCAGTGACAATGTATTCACTTTGGATAGTCAAACTGATAAGCGATCGATGTTGTATTAAAATTCAGTTGTTCCGTAATTTTTATGATTAATATCATCAAGGGGTAGTATAAAAATTCAACATAGTTGATGCGTAATGGTAAGCCCATACTGTTTTTTGAATTTCACAAGCAGAATATAAGGATTGAAACTGTTTTATTTATGCAGTGGTTAGTTTCAATAAACCCTTACATAAATAGTTTGCCTACTTAGTTATTAGCTAGTAGTACGTAAATTACTTCTTCGTTTTTTGTGTACAACATACTACATTTCAGCAAATGTGTAGTTTTTCAATTCCTCATTGTTAGAAGTGTGAACTCCACTGAAACAAAATAAAATAATTTAACTTTAGATTAATCCAGATCCTTCACATAACTTTTTTTATAATTTACGTAAGATTAATAACTATTACCTTTTAAATGTCTAACTATTTATCACATGATCAGTTAAAATGTTATTTTGTTAACGATTTTCATGGCTGATCAATAATATCACATGGTCATCCATGAAAATTCATAGAATATTCAACTGAACATTTGTCTTAGTTTGAGGCTGTTGGAATCTTGAACTTCCCAAAGAATCGTATCCGTCATTCTTATGTTTTAGTTACACCTAGTATTTTATATCACTGAGTCAAATGTTAACTTTTCATTCAATTTATTATGATTGATGTTTATCAGTTAAATTATAGAGAGGAAGAATTCTTCAATCGCTCATTGTTGATTTTTTGAACAAAAAAAGTTCATACAATCAATTTGTTTATTTATTTTGATAGTTTTGAAAGAGATGCTTGTTTAACAAAACAAGTTCATGAACATACAAAAGCAATTTTGGAACGTTTTAAACTTCCGGTTATTCCAACACACGATTCTATTAGATCGGAAATGTTAACTGCTAAGAAAAGTATAGATGAAGTAAGTTATGATATGTATGTATACTGTTGAACCCAGAGTAGCTTATTAGCAAAATCTTTCTTAACATTTTCGTTTGAAATTTGTGGAGTGCAATTGATCTCATATAAAATAAACTAAATACGATTAGCTATTTGATTGACTAGGAAGGACAGAAGATTAAGGAAGACGCTATGATGAGAAGTGAAGTCAGGCTTGACATAAATAGTTTTTAAATAAAAAATCTCAATCAATGTAAAAAGAAAATAAACACTAAAATATGAGTGAAATATATGAATTTAAAATGTTTCACATTTAAACAAACAGGACTTCATGTAATTCAAAGATTAAGAAGGAAAACATCGGAAACATGTTAATACGTACATGTTAAAGAAACTAGGGTCACAGTAATTAAATTATTCACAACAACTATTTTCTGAATGAAGCAACGTTATGTATAATAACAGAATAAAAAATTTGGAATAGACACAATCAGTCTTTGAGGAAGTGTCATTTCCGACTTAGAGATTCTGATCTCAAACAGTTGGTAGAAATTTTTCAGTTTTCTTCACTACCGCATAAAGATATCGGATTCCAGGGATCATTTTCCTAAAATTCAGTACTGATAAACCCCGTCTCTCACCCGAAATCCCTTTATGTAGTATTCATCGAAACATTATACACTATGTATTTACAGAATAACGACTCATAACTAAGGTTTCTTAGCGTGGGTCTATTACATAAAACTTTAAAACATTTTCAAGACATAATCTTTGATCATGGGTTTTGAAGGTTGTTACATTATACATTCAAAATCATGAATCGATCAGAGTTAGACCACCATTAGAAACCTGAAAGCATTGGAGGGCATTTTTCCTGTTATGGGATTGATCAGCAATGCGCATCCACAACTCCTGCGCCTCACAGGATTCGAACCTTCGATCTTGCAAGCGAACGCCTAACCTAATGTCTAACCGAAGTTCCTAGTTTCGAGTCCTGCGAGGTGCAGGAGTCGTGGGTGCTCACTTCTGATGAGTCCCATACCTGGACGAAACGGCTGTCTAGTGCTTCAAGGTTTCCAAACAATGGTCTAACTTTGATCGATTCATGATTTCGAAATGTGTAACATAATATTTCAGTCAATTTTCATCACTTTTTTCGCAATAATTATCAACGAGATAATTTTCCGCTGATAATCACATACAGAGATATATACTTTAATTAATTATCAGCTGTATACTTACTTGTTTAATCAATGACTGAAATAAACATCATAGTTGAATAGAGTTATCGTAACTATATTATTACCGGGAATTATGTTGTTTTCAATTTCTTTATTTTTTAAAAAATTATTGCAGGCTATTCGATTACACCGACGTGTACAACAAAGACTTGTTACGTTGGGATACTTTCATGGATCCAATCGACGTGATTTATGGTGACAAAAAATAATTTTAGAATGAACATCTTTTGTTTTTTTTCCTCTTTTTTTGATCAATTTTTTTTTCTATAAAAAAAAATACCTGCAAATTGCACATCTATGAAAAATTTTGAGTTTCATTATAATTTACTGAATAATAATAATAGTAGTAAACAATATTTCTATAAAAAAACGTTTTTCTTTTTCAGATGAATGAATAAAAACCATAATAATAATAATTAATAATAATACTAATCTAATTTGTATTGAATTGCTTGCTTTATATGTTGATTTTTGTCCTAATCTGTATTATAAAATCATCATCTTATTATTGTCATAGTATTATTATATCATAAGTGTATTCTAGCTAAGCATAACTTCGTTTTGTGTGTTTGTTGAAAAAAAATATGTCATGCAGTATTTGAAAAAAATGTTTGATGAATTTTATTGAATATTATAATAAAGTGTTAGGTATTCTTTAATGTGAAAAAAACATCTATTCTTTTTTTCGATGCAATTAACGACTAAAGGTACTTGTAATTCTGTATGTGAGCATTAAAAGTTATTTGCTTGAATTAACAATGTGTTGTTTATTTGAGTTTTTTAATTTGCATCTCCATTCTTCAGCGTAATCCCTTTCTTTGAATTTGAGGGTTACAAGTATGGGTCTGTGTTGTAACGTAGTTGGATGCTTTGTGCAATATGTGTTGTATTCACTTTCATCGCTTCTTCATGATTTCCTCCTCCGATGGGAATTTGGTTTGTTCTATCTCATTCATAGTTAGGTTGTTGCTGATGGTGTATATCAACAAATCACAATTTACTGGTAGAAAGTTTCGAATTTCTATGGTTACCTAGAAGAGATTACTAACAACTAGGGAAACGGGTTGATATATCATTTAATATATTGAAACTCTACAGTGATGCGCATTCACCACACGTGATACAATCAAATACAAGGACTTCAATTGTCATGAATAACATTGGTATTTGAAGTGTATGGATGTATGTATGTGTGTGTGTGCTCGACTACATTTTGACAATCCCAGTGTATCATGAAATAATCAAAACTCATTCATCAAATTAATCTCTATTGTCTTTAATTGATATGTATTTAAATGGAACATGTTTATCTTGATTTCTTCCACTAAATAATGGGATTGATGTGCTAATTCAAAAAGGATTTGAATTTAGAAAAATGTTAGCCATACTGAATTTCTATTGTTTCTCGAAATCACATGGATTTATGATGGATTAGTCTTATAATGCATAAAACATTTTCATGGCTTACTGATTGCATTTAATTTCCAAATTTATTTTTCTGAATAGTGACAACTAAGGTGGGGGTACGTTGTCGTGTGAATCGATTATCACAGTAGACTCAATATATCAACATATTACCGGCTTACACCTGTTGTCTCCAACGGAGTATACGCCGTCCGACCAGTATTCTTCAACCTACTCTGTCCTGAGTTTCCCTTTCTAGTTCTGTCCAATTTTTGTTCATTCTTCTCATTTCTGTCTCCGTTTCTCAACGTAATGCTTTACTTTGACTTTGAAGGTTACAAGTTGGATGCTTTCCGCAATGTGTGTCGTATTCACTTTCAACGCATCTTCTTGATTGTCTCCTGCGATGGGAATCTTGTTTGTTCTATCCCATAGTTAAGTTGTTGCCGATGGTATATATCAACATATTCCATCTAGTTTATTAATGTTTCTGAAGTGTCCATGTTTTTTCTTCTAGTCTGACTTCGATCTATTATTTAAGAAACTGACAATTTTGTTCTTTTTTGTTTTTCTATGTTCTATCTGAAAAAGTAGAAAAAATTATTCTTTACAACTGATGTTTTGAATTGATAGTTATTCTCATTAAATGTTCAATGATTCGAAAGAAAAAAATAACACTAAATGTTTTAAACCGTGTTAGAGAAAAATGCTATTAAGCATCTGTTTTTACTACAACAAACAAACAGACAAAGCAACACACATTTCTTGTATTCCATAAGATGGCTAGAACAGATAAGAACAATTATTATCATTATCATCATCATAAACTGTTTCTCTTCCAAATTGGTTTTTTTCTTTTGGCTTTCTATTCCATACGTTTCATTAAATTCTCATCAACCTTCTTGACAAGTTGAACAAAAAAAAAACAGAACGAGTAAGTAACTAACAAGACAGAAGAAAATTTGATTGACTTAAAGTGTTGTTTCTTATTCAACAGACAATTTCATAGACAGCCTAGCTAGCTAGCTGCAACAAGAAGAACATTGAAATAATTGAAAATAAATTGACGAAAAAAAAAACAACAAAAAAGTTGAAACATGATAGATTTTTTCTATTAGATGTCTCGAAATATATAGATTTTTTTGGTTTTTTCAATTTAATTTTGTTTATATCCAAAGTAGACAAAATTCATTTTCACATGTAACTAACTGAACGAACGATATATATCATGGAAACCTACTGAGAATATGTTGCAAGAAATTTGTTTAAGTTGGAGAGTTCGAAAATTGACTGATTACTATCATGACTAATAACAGTAATCTAGTAAACCAATAAATTCTAAGCGGAATGTTACGATTAGAAATTGAATCTCCAGTTCGTAAGTTTATTGTGACTAGGTCGACAGAAAGCTCTTTTATAGTGAACAAGAAGATTTATGTTTGTAAAATAAAAGGTCAGCATGACAAACAGAGGATACATTGTGTAACTTACCACTCTGGATAATATAATTATACACTATTACCAAGGTAAGTTGAAAGTGATAACAAACTATTTTTGTATACATCACATTAATTCTGATCATCTATCGTATTCGCATTCTACTAGCCAAATTTATCAAATGGACTAATTGGTTTCAATTAATCTTTATGTTGAAATCTCCGAAGAGAATCATCATTTGACAAAATGTAATTTTGACAATTGTAAGTTTATTCTTCGAGACTATGTGTTTAACATACAATTACTAAACACATTTATTCAATTATCATATATATAAATATCAATAATTTTGAATAAGAATAACTTTAAATGCATTTGAACAAGGTCATTCTACTACATCACGTTACTGTTAGTTTTTAACTATGAACAACAATGGAATCTAGAATAAGAGTTCCATCTTATTCGCTACCTAGTTTCCAGCGTATACGTTTGAATGAGACTTTAAACGGGAGCCTACTGCTAAACTTTATAGCTATTCATTATTTCTTATTGTTTCGTTCTCTGAGCTGGATGTTTTGGTTGTGGAGCTTTCGTTGTTCTTCTGAATTACGTCATCAGTACAAACGTCGGATAGAAGCGAAGTATTCGAATTTCTCCACGTTTGACCTGTAGCTTGTTCTGTTAACCTCGATCTTGATTGGTTGCTGTTGACCTTGAATCTGTCGTTGTTTGCACCTTCAATTTGATTGTATCCCTCTTTTGATCTGTTGCCTATAGGCGACATCCACCTAAGCTAGAAATTTTCTCCACCACTTCATATGTCAACAAAAACTGCTTAGATCTAGTCATGAATATCAGTAATGTAAGAACATGGACTCTATCGAATAATTACATGTTGTGATTGTTAGAGTGAGTTTTTATATTTACGATTATATCTCACACATAAAGTTGGTGGTGAAGTCATGTAATGCTAAATAAATTAGAAAAAAAATTTCTCACTCTGTGATTAAGTAAGAAAAGAGTGAATAGACATGATTTCGACATAAATCACGGGATGTAATGATCCAAACTAGAATGCTAGAAGTGTTTGCTGTTCATGTTGTCTCATTTCTATCTGTCATTTGAATAATGCCCAATCAAGCAATCTTTAAATCTTTACCCTTACCCTGTGATTGGATAAAATCAATCTCTCATGGTTTTATGTCGGTAATGTTGTTTTAAAATCTCAATTAATTTAATGATCAGTGATCACAATCTTAATCGCCAGTTGTGTTTGAATTAGTTTATTATCAATGACAAGTCAAATAAATACATCATGCCTCATCATCATTAATGCTTTTTAGAGTAAAACGTTAAATATGATTTTTGATAGTAATTACATTTTGGTAATTTATTTTGTTTAAATTTGTGTTCAATACAAGTTATTTTATAAGATAATTTAACAACGAGAAGTAAAGAATACTCTCTCAAAAATTCAATGTTTCAAGTTTCAATTTGAGTTATGACATATTGAAATGGGTGCTAAAGTTTACTTCAGATGATATTAAACGTGAAAATATATGATCCAAAGCCATATAGACCTGTATTTACATGTTTCCAACTTATATTACTTCATGATTTGAATAAATTCGGGAAAAAATTACCAACATTTTAAACAAACAGTAATTGGAATTTTTCCAGACATTGTTGTGTAATATTGCTGTTGATAAGAATTAAGTAGTTTGTTTCATTATTTAAAAAATCTTCATTACCAGGATATGTTCTAATAGGGTAAAACAATTAAAGAAATATTCCTACTTTGATTAGTGGAACAAACGAACAGTAGTAAATTGTTAAATTAACGATACACAAACAAAGGATATGGTTTCGATTTATCCTCGTTAGGTTCTACGATATTTAGGTTTAAATAAATACGGAAAGAGAATAGGAGATTATAAGACAGAGACCCTGTATGACATGGCTCAAAACTGTTTGTATTGGCTGGCGCATTGATTCCTTCTGTTCTGTCAAAGCCTAACCTTCTGAATTCCTCATTACCGTCAATTTTTTTAAAAAAGTTTATTTCACTAGATTATACTTCATGAATAATATCGTCGAACCCTAATCTCTCCGAATACTACTGATATCTCTGCTATCTCTACTATTATCGGATTTCAATTGACAATTACATCTCTGTGCTGATGTGACATGACAACATGAGCTGATGTACGTACGTACGAAGTTCTACGTTGCTATTGATTGACGGATTGATCGTATTTTGTGGTTGTTTCGGTCATTATTTAATATCTTATTTCAGTAAATGTTGATATTCTTCAACATAAGTTAGAATAACTTTCTTTGAAAGTGGAAACATATAATCAATATTAATGTAAATGCAAGAGTTGAAGACAAAATTTCAATGATTCAAAATCCAGTGATTCATATTTCTCAGAAGTCAAAAACTGACCAGGTTTGAAAGCTTTAAAACTTAAACGAGAAGGATGTTCATTACTTAACGAGT